AGTTCAAGTCTCTCTGGACATATTTCTGCCTCTGTTAATGTGGCAAAATGAAGACGATAAATTCTTTTTAAGTCAAATTTTGGCACCTTGATTTCGTTAATTATGACAAAGCTCAAACTACAGCCAGGAAGAGAGGCAGGCCCAAAACATTAACACACACAAAAACACAACTGATTTTCCATTTCTGACCTTGACTTGACCATTTTCAAATTTGGAGGATTTAAACAATTTTAAAAAAGAAAGAAAAAAAAAGTCCTGCTTAAATTAAAAGAACGCGATCTATCTGCACTTATAGGACGCAACCCCCGCCCCAAATAAAACTGCTCCCAGATCGGGCCTACATACCCGCCCAGGTATTCTTCACTGCGGGCTACAACCGTGAGAAAAATCACTGACCCGCTGGGGGAAAGCGCGGCTCTTTTCCTGACATGCTCTTTCTGTCCCAAACTAGGAAGACCGGGGCCATTATTGCGTCAAACGCGATGATGGGGTAGGTGAAGTATGTGACCGTGACTCAGCCTTGTTTCCGAGTTTAAAAGTTAAAACCCCGATAAAACGAAAAGAAACCACGAAAAACATAAAGATCATCTCCACCGCGTCCACTTTCCCTCTTACCTTCATGTCATAGCGCGTCAGTGTGGTCCCAACTTGGGGAAGCTTTGGGTAGAATAAGAAACGCCTCCGCCTCTCGGCATATCCCGTAGCTGTCGCACAGAGAAGAACTAGTGGAGAAAGATATTTAAAGCCCAAAGCAAAGCAGTCAGCGAGAAGCGCACGGACTGTGTAAGAATCCCAAACTATGGCGCGGAGGCGGAAGCTGCTGTTTAGTTTGTTATCAAACTAAGTTGTGTGTGCTTATCACAAATCCAGGCACTGAGCCTGCAGATGGCACAGCCCCCTATAAACACGCGAACACACACAGTAAAAATGGATGGATGGAGAGAAGGGGAGGGAGGGAGGCCTGCTCGGTGCATGCAGAGTCAGACTTAACTCTTTCACTGCCTGATGGAAAATCATCTGTCGTAACTGAAGCAGGTGATCACAGCACATGCTGAGGAATCTCTCTTTTTCTCTGCCACAAACATTCACAAGCTTAAAACAACTAGAACTGTGTGTTATTTGCGAGTGGTGCAAACACACAGCTAGACCGATGTACAATTTTGTACTGTGAGATAAGAACAAATAATCTAAGCCAGGCACAGATCTTTTCACAGAAAGTCGGCGCTGCAACACTTTTTGAGTGAACATACTCTCCCAGGGGGAGTGTACAAAGAACTACACTTCCTTCCCACCAGCTTCTTCCATGCATTTCTGCTCTTTACTTATTTATTACCACTAATGGGTTCTTGTCTGAACTCCCATCCTTGTGCATTAAGACCTCAATCTGCTCTGTATTCACTCTGGCTTGGACTCAGACAAATGCACAGTGTAATCTGAGGGTGTCTGTATGAACATACAGTGAGTGCAAAATGATTATCTAACTAAAGGGAGAAGCTGCTGGAGAGAGAGCAGCGGGTCTTGTGGTTGACTGAGCAGGATATACAGGAAATACCAGCTCAACCTTGTAACAACAAAACCACTCCTGAAGACAACTGAAGGGCAAAGTGCACAGGAATTAAAATGTCATCAAGCGATATGACGTATGATTTGGGGGTTAAAAATAATATATATATATCTGAAATAAGTGTGTACTGCCCGGCCCTGTGTGTAGGAATGTACTATGGCTTGCTGCAGCCGCCCTGTTCACTTTCACTGATCCAGTCAGTCAAGCTCATTTCATATACCTCTTTCAGCCCTCCTCCTCTCTGTCTTTATTTCTCCTCAAAACAGATGCCTGAACATTCTTTGTTCCCCAACAAAGGCGTGATGAGGTCAGGACAGGGGGGACATGCAGGCGAGGGCTGGGAAAACAGAGGGGGAGGAGAGAGGACGGCCAATGATGACGTCATGCAAGAAAGGCAATCAGACTTCAAGTGTGTGTGCACATGTGTTACTTCTGGAGACATTAATCTATTAACACAGTCTTATACCTCCTGGGGACACCTCCATTACAGTGAGTGTGTATAATGTAAATTACTACACTGAAAGGAAGAGTTAGATTATGGTGGTTATAGCCATAGTCAGTCTCAGGGATATTAACATGACATCCTAATTCATCAAAAAAAGCTGGATTTTTAAAAACCGTATAGTGTAATAATGCAAAGAATTTAAATATAATTTAACCATAAAGTTTATTAAAACTGTTACAGACATGATTAAAACGAAGAATTTGGCACACAAGCCTAATTCCCAAAAGTTACCAGACTCTGTAAAACGTAAATAAATACAGAATAAACACATATTTTATTCACAGTAGAACATAGAACACATATCAAATGTACAATTATAAGAACAATATTAGCTCCACTTTGAATTTCATGGCAGTCTTTTGGGAGAGGAATGTTGTTCCATTCTTGTCCGACAGCCCAGTCTTGTTTCTGTATTTTATGTTACAAAGACGGCAGTGTGTCCCAGTGATGTTCACATATGGCTTCTTCTTTGCATGTCAGAGCTTGTTGCAGATTGGTGAACCTCTGCCCATCTTCAGCTCTGAGAAACTGCCTCTATCCAATCATGTTACTGATCTGCTGCCAGTTAATCTCATTAGTTGAAAAATGTTCCTCAAACTGTTTCTTTTTAATATCACTTACTTTTCCAGCCTTTTTGTTGCACTGATCACAACTTTTTGAGAGATGTTGCTGCTATTAAACTCTAAATGAGCTCAAAGTTTCACAAAAAAAGTCAAATGTCTTTATAGTTTAAACATTTATATGTGTTCTATTATATTGTGAATAAAATGTGGGTTTATGAGATTTGCGAATCATTGTATTCTGTTTTTATTGACAGCATATTTAAAAGTATTTGAAAAAAATATATGCTTAATTTAATTCAGTACCAGCAACATATTTTTTTAAAAAAGCTGGGTGCTGTGACATCAGAGCTAAAGAAGAGAGCCTTGTTTTCAGTGCACAGTTCTAAGGTTACATCTGTGATCATGTGCGTTGCTGCAAACAGCATGGGTAACTTGCTCATTTGTGAAAGGTCCATTAAACGATAATAATAAACAATTTGAATAGGTTTTGGAGCAACATATGCTGTCTCTCAAGGAATGTTGTTTTTTCAGGGAAAGCCTTGCTTATTTGAGCATGACAGCACCAAACTACATTTAGCATGTAGTAAAAGAGTCAGCAATCTGTGGCATCCAGACCAGACCAATCACAAAAGGAACACACCAGGGAGGATAAGACACTCTGACTAAGAACTCTGACAAAGGAGGGCTCAGACTGTTGTTTAGGTAAACTGCTACATCAAGCAAAGAATGCTAAAAACAACAGCTAAAATAAGAGGTCATGCAAGACAAAGGAGCAGGGTTGAAAATGGGTGTAATGTCCTGTAATGTGTATGAATGGGAATAATAATTTACTTTTAGTTAATTGCTGCTGCAACAAAAGCATGTGCATAATCATAATCAATTCCTTTCCACTGGTTAATCAACTAACTTCATCTGTTTGTCTCTGGTGCCCTCTAGGGGCAGTGTTTTTGTCTCCCTCTTATGTCCTGAAAACAAAAAAAAATCTGCAAATTTTGTACAATGCGAATCTCAAGTATATGCTCTGATCAAAACCAAAGATGCACTAAAATACGTGGATTTGTGTTTCTGCTCACTTTATTAAGCTCACTGTTATTTTTAATGGAAAATTTTACAATATAATTTCAAAAAACGCAAACTAGCTCAAATATTCACGAGCTCTCTCAGGCTTTTGCACCCCATTAGTATTTCTAAAAGTATATTAGTGTTCCATTATGTACTGCTGATAGCACCTATTTAGAAACCAACCATCTACTCGTACATTATTAGCTACTATGGCTGCTTATATTACATTATTCATCACAACATGGTTTTCAGCTGTAGCACTAAAGTGCACTTATTAGAGTGAGACTGCAATCTCCATGGCGATCAGCTAGTCTTGTATATATAACAGCATGTTTTTCAGGTTCAAGAAAGAAACCATTATGTGGGCTGTCCATTCAAAGTGTCCTTGGATTTTGAGAATAGTTTGATGGAGGGAAAAAAGGCTTTGTATCATGTTCTGACTTCTGCACTGAGCTCACAAATGATTTGGTGTGCTCCAGTGATACACCTTCTCTCTAAAACATCAGCATATCTCGCCTCCAGAAATACAAATTTGATTTATATGTTAGTGTACCGTGGAAGAATAACATCAGCTTTCTGACGCGAGGTTCTGCAGAGGACTCATCGCCAGGTCATCTATGATTCATAAAGCAAAGAGTTGCTCTGTTTCAAGCTTCAACACTCGAAAAAGTCGTGAGCAACTCAGAAAATAAAGGGGTTTCCAGAGTATGCAATCACAGTTCAGGAATAATAAAATCCGTCATGCACAGATTTATGTCGGGCGGTGCAGGGATGTGTTGTTAAGTGGGATTTGTTATGAAAACACTGTGGAAATGTTAAATAACAGATATAAATACATATACGGCAAATGGCTAATGTCTCCGTGACAGCGTTTCAGGAAAAGAGGATAAACAAAATTAATTTGCGCTCGCACGTCACACCTCCAATGTCCATGATATGGGCAATTATCTGTACTCTGTCTACCAAACATTTACCCAGAATTAGATAGGAAGCACCTGCAGGTCAAGTGCTAAAAATAGAAGCGTGCCAGAACAGATCAGAGTGTTTCGTGCCCCCCCACCAGAACAAAGTAAGATCGTAATTTAAAACAATCCGGATAACTTTCAGAAAGCTGCAATGCACCAACTGAAAAAGTCTATTTCTAGACCAATCTAGCACGTTTGTCTTCCTCCAAATGGATATTTTTCACAAGCGGGGGCCGCGGGGGGCTCCGTGCTTCTATAAAAGGAATGTATTTTGAATGAGCGTGCTGACGCAGAAACTGTGGGTGTATAAGAGATGACACTCGGCTCTGTTTCGCTGGACACATGGGAAAGCAACTGGGTTGGTGAGGTTGTGATTGCCTCTCGGTGACTGGAGACTCTTGAAAGAGCACAAGAGATGAACGCAACTGAGAAGTTTTATCTTCCTGTTGATGGCATTCTCGAAATGTTGAACTCTCTCACCGGGCATCTACAATCAAGCATTACGCATCCAGATCTTCAGAGCACCTTACTCGGTCCAGTGCTCCAGCACCCCAAAGTCTCAAACATAGCGACAGGCATGGGGCTCGTCAAAAAGGTTAAGGGGTGCTGGAGACAGCAGGATACGAGGATAGTTGAGAGTAGATCCTCAAGTTCTGGCAATCGGCAAGTGTCGGCTGATCGACTCCCGAAGAGGTCCGTGGACCTGCTGGAGTTGCGTTTGACCAAGCCCAGAAATTGTCATAGAATAGTTGTGCTTGGTGCGCCCAGAGTGGGTAAAACAAACATTCTCAGGCGGTTCATGGGGAAAGACTTTGAGGAGAGCTATGAGCCCACAATCGAAGACTTCCACAGAAAGCTGTTCCACATAGGAGGAGAGGCATACCAGGTCGATCTTCTGGATGCGGCAAGTGAGAGGGACTTCCCTGCCAAACGCAGACTATCCATCCTGACGGGTTAGGAATCAGTGCTGTATTAAATCTGTTTTTAAGGGATGTTGTTTTTTTATATTTTGAAAATGAATGCTACCTTAATTTACATCTGATGTTCTTTGTCTCTCCAGGTGACATTTTTCTGCTCGTCTTCAGTTTGGATGACAGAGAATCTCTGAGTGAAGCCTGTGAGCTGCTCAGCGAAATCAAAGCTGCTAAGGCAAAGCTGCTGAAATTAAAACAGCCAATGAGAGTGCCGGTCATTGTATGCGGCAATAAAGGGGACTTAGACTCAGAGAGAGTCGTGAGACGGCCAGACGTGGGGAAAATCCTCGGCGAAGATATCCCATTCTTCGAAACCTCTGCTAAAACCGGCACCGGGCTGGACGCGATGTTCAGAGCCCTTGCCTCTCTGGGTGGACTACCTCACGAGACCAGTCCATCGCGACATCAGGTCATACCCATCCTCACCTATCGGTCGCTGTACGTCGGCCAGCGAGGCAGGAGGGGTAGCCGTACGCGGGTACTCTCTGCGCCCTGTGCCGCAGTGGACCCTCTGGCGCGCCGCCCGAGCTTCAACAGCGACCTGCAACTCGTGCTTGGATCAAGCACCAAACACAACAAACCCGAGAAGTGTCAGATTCAATGAATTGTGAGACTTCTCGACAAACAAATTGTAGTAGTACGCTGCAATATGGTATACGTAAAGAGTTATACTCTGTAGCACCTGGCTGGACCAGTGCATTCTTATCGTGTTTTTTGTATATAGGCTACCTGTTCTATAACCCTGTAATAAAAGCTGAATATTTCCAACTATCTTGAGTGTTTTGTGTCCTTGCTTTCCATCATTCCGTTTGTTACAAAACATTTAAGAATCTCTTCACAAAGAGACGGGCACGGCCAGATTACGCACACTGACGTAAGCAGTCAATTCTCTTCGAGTGATGATGTAAAAACCTCGCGTGTGGGAGGGAGTTCAGAGCCATGGGTGGATGATTCAAACGCAGACCTTCAACATCTTCCAGTATCTGTTGTCAGTCTCGAGAGTTTTTGCACGGTTTGTTTAGAACGCCCACGGCTTAGTGAATGGCTTAAAGTACAGAGGTGCTACAATGCCTATTAATCAGCCGCGGTGGTGTACGCGCGCGTGTGTCACCATGGCAGTTGGAGGAAACAATGAGTGATAGCGCATGATTTATTAAAGAGGGGAAGGTGGGCGAAAGGAGAGAGACGGAGTGAGATCAGCACCATGGAGAGAGCACAATGATTATTCAACTCGGCATTTAATATTACTGACACTGACAAGAAGTTCAGTATATTTGCTTAAAATAAACCTATCTAAATAATAAAACTGAAGTGGATCAATAAAACCCACTTTAGAAAACTAAACTAAAAGTTACGATGAAATAAAAACACAAGCTCCTGACAAATTTGTCTGGTACATTTACAAATGAGCATCAGAATGGGAAAGAAAGGGGATTTAAGTAACTCTGATCACAGTGAACCCATCTTCTAATGGCTGCTAAGGCTTAAATCACCTGAAACTGGTGCTCAACATGCCTCCATGGTCACTAGATTTCAATCTACAAACAAGGTTTAAAAGGTGCCGATGTACCCGCATGTACTTTTTAAGTGACAGGGCACTAGCTGGGTTTTCAATACACAGTTGAATCATAAAGATCTGTATTTCCAGACCTAGTTCATGGAAAAATAATAATGTCTGAATATGTCTCATGACAGTAAAGTTCCTTGAGATAAGACTCAATCCTTTTAAATGGACTAAATATTTATTATTTATTCTCTCATGAGGGGGAGTTTTATTGTATGCACAACACAAATGTCTCACTTCTCTCCAGGAGTACCACATTTCAAAGCTCTTTTTAGGCAAACTCGACAGTGATTACGAAATTTAGAGACTTAGAAGTGAGCTGGGATCAGTTTAAAGCTATAGATATTTAGATATCCCTTTACTCACCAGGAAATTAATGTTCATCCATCTGGTATGATTTCCAGGGATTTGAGAAGACATGCAGCACCTGCAGTGATATCAATAAAGTCCGAGAACAAAATGATTGCTTACTCGGAGGCTTTTCTTGGTATAATATAATTTGTTCGCCCTCTAAAACTTCCCGCTCACCGTGTACGTTTGCTGAAAAGACCATGACATCAATCCAAAACAATTTCCTGTTTATTGTCAGAGGTATAATTATGATTAAACGACAGCAACAGCAGCAATTAAAGCTTTAGTGCAAAGTGTATCCGTTGTAGTAATGACTGCATGAAAGCATCTGGAGACTTAAATCCAAGACTCGTTCTAACCGGTGGGAGAGGCAACACGGACATAACACAATATGCTCGATCGCTGCTGGGCCGCAGTCATTAAAGATAAAGTCACGTTTGCAATGGTCTGGAAAATGATGAAGAGCCTTCACTAACACGTTTAAAAGGTGTACCAAACAAAACTGTTGGTTTTTGTATGTTTTGACAGCCACGAGCTTATCTGCTTTATAAACATTTGTGTCATTGAAGGTTGGAGGTGTTCTTTGTTTGTCTGCCAGCAGACTCAGAGTGGTCCCCGTGAGGCTTTGGGGGAAATTTGTCTTTCCAGCTCCACCAGGAGAGCTGGAAGGATGCTGTCCAGTAAGGCCAGTCCTTCCCAGGAGCACCTCAGACCCCTGACAAGGAAAGACACAAATGATTTAACCTTCAAGCTGTAGAGACATTTTAAATACCGTGTGCTGGGGAAATCAGAACAGACTATTCCCCTTATTTTCTGTCACCTCATGCACCAAACCATTATATAATAAGGGAAATATTATCAAATAATAAAACCAATTGTTAGGTTGGCTTCCGCACAGGTAAGGAAATTTAAAGAGAAAATTAAACATCATAAGTCACCTGTCATCGAGAATCAGCTGTCCGCTCTGTAGCAACTCTTGGACGACAATGGATTCACCAAAAACTTCATCAAGGCCAGTTTGTGGGCTGAACATCTCCCAGTGCTGTTAACATAATTTAAAAAAAAAAGTCTCTGCGAACTGAACATTATCTGCCGTGACCGAAAATACAATGAAAGATTGATTTTGTGTGCTTTACCTTATGATTAATGCCCTCAGTCATTCTCATTCCCATCACCAACACCTCCTCCAATCTGCCAAGCAAATATCTTTCATAACTTAAACTGAATACAGAATAGCAAGGACAGAACAGAAAGAGTAAAAGGCCTGAATACAAGTCTCATAATAGCATCTCACGAGGACAGAATGTTTGAGAGAACAAGCACATGTGCCACGGCCTCAATGCACAGTGTGATAAATTACACTGTGGACTGTCTCAGACTTCACTGCTACATTTCACATGTTCAGAGCATTTCTGGGCATCTGTCTCTGCCTGGAAGTGCAACAGCGTACAATTCAAGATGGCCAAGCTGAAGCCGCCTCCGCGTCCCGTGTCCCCTCTGCCGCACTTCACGGATCCACACGTCAGGCTCCAGAGTCTGGGTCCGGGCCTCTCGAACAACACCTCCCTCCCCCAGAGGAACAAACCGCCCGTGTGCTCCTGTGTCAGAGACAACAATATAAAAAGCACCATTTCCAACAGGAGCATAACCGGAGTGATTTAGTGCTTTAGATCAAAGTATTACCTGGGCCGACACCGATGTATTGGTTTCCTTTCCAGTAGCTGATATTGTGATGACTCACTGAGTTCTACATTACACAGAGAAAAACATTTACTGAGTGTTTATGAGGGAGAACAGTAAAACTGTCATATTATGGAGATTTAATGAAGACCAGTGTTGGGGAGTAACGGAATACATGTACCGCCGTTACGTATTTAAAATACAAAATATGAGTAACTGTATTCCGTTACAGTTACCGTTTAAA